GCTTAAAACATCTGGCATAAGATTAATTCATTACAGTCTTCTCATTTATTTAATAAAATAAATTAAAATTAATGCACTATCCTTGTTTTTTTTTGTCTTCTCACGGAACACCAGATATTCCTAAAATATTCATTGCGACCTAGACATCGAGTGTACCATTGTATGTACCTACCACAACATACCTGAGCATTTCTGCAATGCTCTCTGCTACTGTAGGTGCCCCCTGCTGGTAACACCGAATGACTATCACTTTAACATGACATGTACCACTTGCACGCCCCTTGATGCATTCTCACCCTTTCTTGTCCTACGTTTATATGGGTGAAACTTGGGACTGGTGATTTTTACAGAAATATCACAATAATAATAGTTTCCTTTTACTTCATATTTGAGCTTTAATTATAAATTTGAAAAATATTATGAAGAAAATGCAAACATACATAATCCATAAGAAATGACTAAAAATAACACATTTGCGTTTATTGGTATATTGTGATCGGCCAAGGTTTATGTAATTGTAAAAGATATATATATATATATATATATATATAAAAAAACTATCAACATCCCCTGCACTCACGCTTGAAGTATTCCAAATGCCGGGCTCACCACCAAAGCTCCAATAGGTATAACTTCCACAAGAAAAGGCTGCTCTCCGGACTTAAAATCAAAGATTTTATTGAAAATATTTAAAAATGATGACCAACGTTTCGGTCCCCGATCGGGACCTTCCTCAGGGTCAGAGACAACAGGACAACAATAAACAGTATACAAAGTGACAATATATACCATTACATTAAGTGAAATGACTCACCCAGGTGTTCTATTCTCATTTCCCGCCGGCACCCAGTGAATTTCCGGGTATGCGCGCGCACGTCAATACGTGCTCCGCCCCTTCATCATACTATGTTACGTGCCGACGTACTCCCGGTCACATAGACCGGTCTCCTTAGCAACCATATATACAAAGACCCCTCTTACAACAAAAGGAGTCTATACCAAGATAGAGAATAGGGAAGAAAAAATTAATGCCATACATAAGTAATATAAGTGCTTATTTTAGAACAAATCTTGTGATGGGCTCATTGTGTATCATATATCCCTAACCACAAGAACACCTAGTGAACCTAGGTAAGTGACACTTCATTAAAGTGATAATAAAGCCACTAAAATTTGACCCATCAGTGTATGAGCCCTAGTTATAGTTAAATGTGAAATTGCACTCATCAGTGAATCAAAAAAAATTCATATATAAAATTTTTAAAGTGATAGCATGCATATAATAAAGTGCATTATAAGTGCTCATAAGCAACATATGTGTAATCAAATATATCATACATATAAAAACACTTTGGCATAATTATAGACACACTGCTCCTGAGAAATTCATTAAACATAAAAATATTTAAAAACAATAGTAACAAGCTGGTTAAACCTATATAAAAGAATGATACGTGATGCTCTCATTAAGACCCATGGGAGATATTGTATTTAATTGGTGTATCCAAAAAGCCTCTTTCTGAAGCAACATCTTCCCCCTATTACCCCCCTGCGGGGAAGGGGTATATGATCAATACCCACAAATTTAAGGGATGCTAAGGGATGTTTTTTATCAAGAAAGTGCCGAGCAACTGGCTTATCAGACTGGCCATCCCTGTACGCTAATCTTATACTCGAGCGGTGGCCCCTAATCCTCTCACACAGAGGTGTTTCTGTCTTTCCTACGTAATAGAGGCCACACGGACACACCAATTTATATACAACAAAGGGGGTTTTACAAGTAATAGTGTGTCTTATATCATATATTTTATTAGTATGTGGGTGATTAAATTTCTTTGCTGGAATCATATGTCCACAAGTAATACACCCCAGACATCGTATGCTTCCCCGTATGTTGTGCTTGACTGTTTTAGAATAACTTTCCACAGGGTCTGTACGTACTAACATGTCCTTAAGACTCTTATTTCTCTTATTTCTCCTGTAGCAAATTAACGGAGTCTCTTTAAAAATCTTTGGCAGGGTGTCATCCGTAGCAATCATTTTCCAATTGTCTTTAACAATTGTTGAAATCAAATTAGAAGAATTATGAAACGTCATCGGAAATACTATTTTCTGTACAGGATCCATCTTTTGCACCGGGGCCAATTTTGCCTTCAACAGTGCTTCTTCTAGTACCTGAATGTTATAACCTCTGTTCAAAAACTTCTGGGTCATGATTTTCAATTGTAACTCAGCCTTATTTATATCAGAATTGTTGCGAATGACTCGCTGGAATTGTGCTTTAGGAATAGATTTTTTCAACGAAATGGGATGTGCACTCCTAGCGTGTAAAAGAGTATTCCGATCAGTCTGTTTCGAAAATAATGTGTATTGGACTCTATTGTCTCCATAGGAAAGTTCTAAGTCCAGGTATTGGACACTTTCCTCACTGATATTGGCTGTAAACTTGATAGGAGTTGGCAACAAATTTAACTCCTCCACCATCATATGTGCCTCCGTTTGTGAGCCTCGCCAGATGATCAACAGGTCGTCTATATAACGATAATATCCAATAATGTTATTCTTATATGTGGTCAATATATGCTGTGTTTCATATGCATACATGTACGCATTGGCATACATAGGGGCCATGGCTGACCCCATAGATGTTCCCGCCACTTGTAAGTACCACCGATCCTCAAATCTAAAATGATTGTTATGAAGGATCAACGACAAAAGCTCCAGAATAAATTCTATCGGTGGACCATGGTACATCGAAGACTCACATAACACCTGTCGCATCGCCTCAATACCTCCAATATGAGGGATGACTGTGTACAGGCTCTTGACATCCATAGTAATGAATATTGGAACCCTTCCATGGAACTCCAAGGACTTAATTCTACTCAAGAGCATTTGTGTATCCTTAATACATGTACTCAGTGCCTCAACTGGTCCTTTAAAAACAAAATCTAACCATTGTGCTATGGGTTCTAAAATCCCCCCAATAGCTGAAACAATGGGACGGCCAGGAGGTCTTTCTGGATCTTTATGAATCTTGGGTATACTATAGATAATTGGAGTGCGGGGGTGTTGTTTATTCAAAAACTGAAATAGATCAAGACTGATATAACCAGCCCTAAGTCCCATCTCTAATACATCACTGATTTTCCTCTGAATTTCGAGTGTAGGATCCCTTGGTAACATACAATAGGTGTTCAAATCCTGTAATTGTTGTTTAAGGTCATCTGCATAATCAGTATAGTTCATAAGTACGATACCTCCTCCCTTATCCGCCGAGCGGATCACTATAGAAGGGTCCTTAGCTAGGTTATCAATCAATTGTCGTTCTTTCTTAGTTATATTTTGTGATCTTTCACGTTGCTGGACACCAGTATTCTGTGTCATCTTGGACATTGTTGTCAAAAAAGTTTTAATTGAAGATTTGGTAGTTTGTGGGTCAAATGTAGATTTATTCTTAAATTTCTCTAACCCCATACAAGTTGATTGTGGTTTGTCTTTATCCATAGTGTGAAAAAACTCTTTAAGCCTCATATTTCTTCCAAATTGAAACAACTCAGTACTCCATTTAAAGGGGTTAATAAAACTTGTAGGGACATATGATAGACCCTTACTAAGAATGTTAACTTCTGTTTCACTGAGTTGTCTATGGGAAAGGTTAAAGATGGGGGTTATTTCCGTTGAGGGGGTTTGCCCCTTAATACTGTTTTTACCCTTGCGCCCTCTCCTATTCCTATATCTTCGTCGCTCCTGACTTTGCTCCTGGTGACTGTGCCTTGTTCCGTATGACCTAAAAAAGTTGCTGTATCATTGGGGATTTCATTCTCTGAAGCTGATTCCCCAGAGGTTATATCAATAGTTGTAACCTTTGGTCGGATAATTCTTTTGCGGAACCTCCTTGGTCTGGGAGGGCGTTCACCCGATAACCATCTATATACACGGTGGTCTTGGTAATCTTGTTGAACCCTCTCATACTTCTGTTTTTTAAATCTCACTAATTCATTTTTATATTTCAGAAGTTCCACTTTTAGTTGTTGTTGCAATTTCACCCCATCAGCTGAAGCCAATAGAACTGCTTGTTCAGTCTCCAACGCAATAATTTTCTGTTTAACCTCTGTTAAATCAGTTTTTACATCTTTAATCGTTATAAGCATAAGGTCCAAAGAAGCTTTGTTTAAACGTGTGTCCAATCCCTACATACAGCTGCTTTAAGTCTTCCAATAGTTGGTATATTTAGTAATCTAAACCCACGTGGAATCATTTTAGCCTTATAATAGTCGGATAGAAATAAACCATGTAAGTCCAAGTCCACACTTTTTTTATGCAATCTTAATAACTTGAAATAGACATCTCTAGACGTAGTTAAATTAGGTAACTCTTGACTGGATTGCTCCCATAGAATGTGAGATGCATCTTCAGGTGTAAATTGCAGTGTTTCTGCATGTTCTACAAAAGCACCAGCTTGTACTAAAAATTCCTCCATATCACAAAACAAGAGGAGATTAGACCAATGAACAGTAATATAATTGTCAAATATTGTAGGAGCTAAAAAATGCTCAATATAATTAACGTGCCAACACAGTTGCACTATATGCAGGTGCACAAAAGGGAGGAGGTAGAGCCCCACACTCCTAGAAATACAAAAAAAATATCAACATCCCCTGCACTCACGCTTGAAGTATTCCAAATGCCGGGCGCACCACCAAAGCTCCAATAGGTATAACTTCCACAAGAAAAGGCTGCTCTCCGGACTTAAAATCAAAGATTTTATTGAAAATATTTAAAAATGATGACCAACATTTCGGTCCCCGATCGGGACCTTCCTCAGGGTCAGAGACAACAGGACAACAATAAACAGTATACAAAGTGACAATATATACCATTACATTAAGTGAAATGACTCACCCAGGTGTTCTATTCTCATTTCCCGCCGGCACCCAGTGAATTTCCGGGTATGCGCGCGCACGTCAATACGTGCTCCGCCCCTTCATCATACTATGTTACGTGCCGACGTACTCCCGGTCACATAGACCGGTCTCCTTAGCAACCATATATACAAAGACCCCTCTTACAACAAAAGGAGTCTATACCAAGATAGAGAATAGGGAAGAAAAAATTAATGCCATACATAAGTAATATAAGTGCTTATTTTAAAACAAATCTTGTGATGGGCTCATTGTGTATCATATATCCCTAACCACAAGAACACCTAGTGAACCTAGGTAAGTGACACTTCATTAAAGTGATAATAAAGCCACTAAAATTTGACCCATCAGTGTATGAGCCCTAGTTATAGTTAAATGTGAAATTGCACTCATCAGTGAATCAAAAAAAATTCATATATAAAATTTTTAAAGTGATAGCATGCATATAATAAAGTGCATTATAAGTGCTCATAAGCAACATATGTGTAATCAAATATATCATACATATAAAAACACTTTGGCATAATTATAGACACACTGCTCCTGAGAAATTCATTAAACATAAAAATATTTAAAAACAATAGTAACAAGCTGGTTAAACCTATATAAAAGAATGATACGTGATGCTCTCATTAAGACCCATGGGAGATATTGTATTTAATTGGTGTATCCAAAAAGCCTCTTTCTGAAGCAACATCTTCCCCCTATTACCCCCCCTGCGGGGAAGGGGTATATGATCAATACCCACAAATTTAAGGGATGCTAAGGGATGTTTTTTATCAAGAAAGTGCCGAGCAACTGGCTTATCAGACTGGCCATCCCTGTACGCTAATCTTATACTCGAGCGGTGGCCCCTAATCCTCTCACACAGAGGTGTTTCTGTCTTTCCTACGTAATAGAGGCCACACGGACACACCAATTTATATACAACAAAGGGGGTTTTACAAGTAATAGTGTGTCTTATATCATATATTTTATTAGTATGTGGGTGATTAAATTTCTTTGCTGGAATCATATGTCCACAAGTAATACACCCCAAACATCGTATGCTTCCCCGTATGTTGTGCTTGACTGTTTTAGAATAACTTTCCACAGGGTCTGTACGTACTAACATGTCCTTAAGACTCTTATTTCTCTTATTTCTCCTGTAGCAAATTAACGGAGTCTCTTTAAAAATCTTTGGCAGGGTGTCATCCGTAGCAATCATTTTCCAATTGTCTTTAACAATTGTTGAAATCAAATTAGAAGAATTATGAAACGTCATCGGAAATACTATTTTCTGTACAGGATCCATCTTTTGCACCGGGGCCAATTTTGCCTTCAACAGTGCTTCTTCTAGTACCTGAATGTTATAACCTCTGTTCAAAAACTTCTGGGTCATGATTTTCAATTGTAACTCAGCCTTATTTATATCAGAATTATTGCGAATGACTCGCTGGAATTGTGCTTTAGGAATAGATTTTTTCAACGAAATGGGATGTGCACTCCTAGCGTGTAAAAGAGTATTCCGATCAGTCTGTTTCGAAAATAATGTGTATTGGACTCTATTGTCTCCATAGGAAAGTTCTAAGTCCAGGTATTGGACACTTTCCTCACTGATATTGGCTGTAAACTTGATAGGAGTTGGCAACAAATTTAACTCCTCCACCATCATATGTGCCTCCGTTTGTGAGCCTCGCCAGATGATCAACAGGTCGTCTATATAACGATAATATCCAATAATGTTATTCTTATATGTGGTCAATATATGCTGTGTTTCATATGCATACATGTACGCATTGGCATACATAGGGGCCATGGCTGACCCCATAGATGTTCCCGCCACTTGTAAGTACCACCGATCCTCAAATCTAAAATGATTGTTATGAAGGATCAACGACAAAAGCTCCAGAATAAATTCTATCGGTGGACCATGGTACATCGAAGACTCACATAACACCTGTCGCATCGCCTCAATACCTCCAATATGAGGGATGACTGTGTACAGGCTCTTGACATCCATAGTAATGAATATTGGAACCCTTCCTTGGAACTCCAAGGACTTAATTCTACTCAAGAGCATTTGTGTATCCTTAATACATGTACTCAGTGCCTCAACTGGTCCTTTAAAAACAAAATCTAACCATTGTGCTATGGGTTCTAAAATCCCCCCAATAGCTGAAACAATGGGACGGCCAGGAGGTCTTTCTGGATCTTTATGAATCTTGGGTATACTATAGATAATTGGAGTGCGGGGGTGTTGTTTATTCAAAAACTGAAATAGATCAAGACTGATATAACCAGCCCTAAGTCCCATCTCTAATACATCACTGATTTTCCTCTGAATTTCGAGTGTAGGATCCCTTGGTAACATACAATAGGTGTTCAAATCCTGTAATTGTTGTTTAAGGTCATCTGCATAATCAGTATAGTTCATAAGTACGATACCTCCTCCCTTATCCGCCGAGCAGATCACTATAGAAGGGTCCTTAGCTAGGTTATCAATCAATTGTCGTTCTTTCTTAGTTATATTTTGTGATCTTTCACGTTGCTGGACACCAGTATTCTGTGTCATCTTGGACATTGTTGTCAAAAAAGTTTTAATTGAAGATTTGGTAGTTTGTGGGTCAAATGTAGATTTATTCTTAAATTTCTCTAACCCCATACAAGTTGATTGTGGTTTGTCTTTATCCATAGTGTGAAAAAACTCTTTAAGCCTCATATTTCTTCCAAATTGAAACAACTCAGTACTCCATTTAAAGGGGTTAATAAAACTTGTAGGGACATATGATAGACCCTTACTAAGAATGTTAACTTCTGTTTCACTGAGTTGTCTATGGGAAAGGTTAAAGATGGGGGTTATTTCCGTTGAGGGGGTTTGCCCCTTAATACTGTTTTTACCCTTGCGCCCTCTCCTATTCCTATATCTTCGTCGCTCCTGACTTTGCTCCTGGTGACTGTGCCTTGTTCCGTATGACCTAAAAAAGTTGCTGTATCATTGGGGATTTCATTCTCTGAAGCTGATTCCCCAGAGGTTATATCAATAGTTGTAACCTTTGGTCGGATAATTCTTTTGCGGAACCTCCTTGGTCTGGGAGGGCGTTCACCCGATAACCATCTATATACACGGTGGTCTTGGTAATCTTGTTGAACCCTCTCATACTTCTGTTTTTTAAATCTCACTAATTCATTTTTATATTTCAGAAGTTCCACTTTTAGTTGTTGTTGCAATTTCACTCCATCAGCTGAAGCCAATAGAACTGCTTGTTCAGTCTCCAACGCAATAATTTTCTGTTTAACCTCTGTTAAATCAGTTTTTACATCTTTAATCGTTATAAGCATAAGGTCCAAAGAAGCTTTGTTTAAAACGTGTGTCCAATCCCTACATACAGCTGCTTTAAGTCTTCCAATAGTTGGTATATTTAGTAATCTAAACCCACGTGGAATCATTTTAGCCTTATAATAGTCGGATAGAAATAAACCATGTAAGTCCAAGTCCACACTTTTTTTATGCAATCTTAATAACTTGAAATAGACATCTCTAGACGTAGTTAAATTAGGTAACTCTTGACTGGATTGCTCCCATAGAATGTGAGATGCATCTTCAGGTGTAAATTGCAGTGTTTCTGCATGTTCTACAAAAGCACCAGCTTGTACTAAAAATTCCTCCATATCACAAAACAAGAGGAGATTAGACCAATGAACAGTAATATAATTGTCAAATATTGTAGGATCTAAAAAATGCTCAATATAATTAACGTGCCAACACAGTTGCACTATATGCAGGTGCACAAAAGGGAGGAGGTAGAGCCCCACACTCCTAGAAATACAAAAAAACTATCAACATCCCCTGCACTCACGCTTGAAGTATTCCAAATGCCGGGCGCACCACCAAAGCTCCAATAGGTATAACTTCCACAAGAAAAGGCTGCTCTCCGGACTTAAAATCAAAGATTTTATTGAAAATATTTAAAAATGATGACCAACGTTTCGGTCCCCGATCGGGACCTTCCTCAGGGTCAGAGACAACAGGACAACAATAAACAGTATACAAAGTGACAATATATACCATTACATTAAGTGAAATGACTCACCCAGGTGTTCTATTCTCATTTCCCGCCGGCACCCAGTGAATTTCCGGGTATGCGCGCGCACGTCAATACGTGCTCCGCCCCTTCATCATACTATGTTACGTGCCGACGTACTCCCGGTCACATAGACCGGTCTCCTTAGCAACCATATATACAAAGACCCCTCTTACAACAAAAGGAGTCTATACCAAGATAGAGAATAGGGAAGAAAAAATTAATGCCATACATAAGTAATATAAGTGCTTATTTTAGAACAAATCTTGTGATGGGCTCATTGTGTATCATATATCCCTAACCACAAGAACACCTAGTGAACCTAGGTAAGTGACACTTCATTAAAGTGATAATAAAGCCACTAAAATTTGACCCATCAGTGTATGAGCCCTAGTTATAGTTAAATGTGAAATTGCACTCATCAGTGAATCAAAAAAAATTCATATATAAAATTTTAAAGTGATAGCATGCATATAATAAAGTGCATTATAAGTGCTCATAAGCAACATATGTGTAATCAAATATATCATACATATAAAAACACTTTGGCATAATTATAGACACACTGCTCCTGAGAAATTCATTAAACATAAAAATATTTAAAAACAATAGTAACAAGCTGGTTAAACCTATATAAAAGAATGATACGTGATGCTCTCATTAAGACCCATGGGAGATATTGTATTTAATTGGTGTATCCAAAAAGCCTCTTTCTGAAGCAACATCTTCCCCCTATTACCCCCCTGCGGGGAAGGGGTATATGATCAATACCCACAAATTTAAGGGATGCTAAGGGATGTTTTTTATCAAGAAAGTGCCGAGCAACTGGCTTATCAGACTGGCCATCCCTGTACGCTAATCTTATACTCGAGCGGTGGCCCCTAATCCTCTCACACAGAGGTGTTTCTGTCTTTCCTACGTAATAGAGGCCACACGGACACACCAATTTATATACAACAAAGGGGGTTTTACAAGTAATAGTGTGTCTTATATCATATATTTTATTAGTATGTGGGTGATTAAATTTCTTTGCTGGAATCATATGTCCACAAGTAATACACCCCAAACATCGTATGCTTCCCCGTATGTTGTGCTTGACTGTTTTAGAATAACTTTCCACAGGGTCTGTACGTACTAACATGTCCTTAAGACTCTTATTTCTCTTATTTCTCCTGTAGCAAATTAACGGAGTCTCTTTAAAAATCTTTGGCAGGGTGTCATCCGTAGCAATCATTTTCCAATTGTCTTTAACAATTGTTGAAATCAAATTAGAAGAATTATGAAACGTCATCGGAAATACTATTTTCTGTACAGGATCCATCTTTTGCACCGGGGCCAATTTTGCCTTCAACAGTGCTTCTTCTAGTACCTGAATGTTATAACCTCTGTTCAAAAACTTCTGGGTCATGATTTTCAATTGTAACTCAGCCTTATTTATATCAGAATTGTTGCGAATGACTCGCTGGAATTGTGCTTTAGGAATAGATTTTTTCAACGAAATGTGATGTGCACTCCTAGCGTGTAAAAGAGTATTCCGATCAGTCTGTTTCGAAAATAATGTGTATTGGACTCTATTGTCTCCATAGGAAAGTTCTAAGTCCAGGTATTGGACACTTTCCTCACTGATATTGGCTGTAAACTTGATAGGAGTTGGCAACAAATTTAACTCCTCCACCATCATATGTGCCTCCGTTTGTGAGCCTCGCCAGATGATCAACAGGTCGTCTATATAACGATAATATCCAATAATGTTAATTATATTGAGCATTTTTTAGCTCCTACAATATTTGACAATTATATTACTGTTCATTGGTCTAATCTCCTCTTGTTTTGTGATATGGAGGAATTTTTAGTACAAGCTGGTGCTTTTGTAGAACATGCAGAAACACTGCAATTTACACCTGAAGATGCATCTCACATTCTATGGGAGCAATCCAGTCAAGAGTTACCTAATTTAACTACGTCTAGAGATGTCTATTTCAAGCTATTAAGATTGCATAAAAAAAGTGTGGACTTGGACTTACATGGTTTATTTCTATCCGACTATTATAAGGCTAAAATGATTCCACGTGGGTTTAGATTACTAAATATACCAACTATTGGAAGACTTAAAGCAGCTGTATGTAGGGATTGGACACACGTTTAAACAAAGCTTCTTTGGACCTTATGCTTATAACGATTAAAGATGTAAAAACTGATTTAACAGAGGTTAAACAGAAAATTATTGCGTTGGAGACTGAACAAGCAGTTCTATTGGCTTCAGCTGATGGGGTGAAATTGCAACAACAACTAAAAGTGGAACTTCTGAAATATAAAAATGAATTAGTGAGATTTAAAAAACAGAAGTATGAGAGGGTTCAACAAGATTACCAAGACCACCGTGTATATAGATGGTTATCGGGTGAACGCCCTCCCAGACCAAGGAGGTTCCGCAAAAGAATTATCCGACCAAAGGTTACAACTATTGATATAACCTCTGGGGAATCAGCTTCAGAGAATGAAATCCCCAATGATACAGCAACTTTTTTAGGTCATACGGAACAAGGCACAGTCACCAGGAGCAAAGTCAGGAGCGACGAAGATATAGGAATAGGAGAGGGCGCAAGGGTAAAAACAGTATTAAGGGGCAAACCCCCTCAACGGAAATAACCCCCATCTTTAACCTTTCCCATAGACAACTCAGTGAAACAGAAGTTAACATTCTTAGTAAGGGTCTATCATATGTCCCTACAAGTTTTATTAACCCCTTTAAATGGAGTACTGAGTTGTTTCAATTTGGAAGAAATATGAGGCTTAAAGAGTTTTTTCACACTATGGATAAAGACAAACCACAATCAACTTGTATGGGGTTAGAGAAATTTAAGAATAAATCTACATTTGACCCACAAACTACCAAATCTTCAATTAAAACTTTTTTGACAACAATGTCCAAGATGAC